TGTTGCCTTGTGAGAAGTTGCAGGAATATTATAAACAATTAGTACTAACAACAAATGAACAAAAGTACAACTGAAATCTAACAACAAATTAAAAATATCACCTAAATAAGATTGATTGCACTCAACTCACTTAAAAGCTAAAATGTCGCTGAAAGTACAGCTTGTAACTATTATTAATAATCACATGATTGAAAAATTTTTACAAAAAAAAAAAAAAAAAAAATAATAATAACGACCCATAACATTTTATTTAGGCATCGATTTGTTGTTAAGCCTTAACATCAGCAGTACCACTTACGTGTCAAGTTAACTGAGTATATCAGCTAAGTGCCTAGACATCCATTGAACATAATTTCAATGATTCATTTGAATTCAACTATATAAATCATTTATAGGATCAAACTATACAAATAAATTATTTCTACTGCTAAAAAAATGGATACAGAGCAATGTCCACAAATAATAAATAATAATAACAATAATAATAATAATAAAAACAACAATAGTAAAAAAAAATTAAAATTTTACAGTTATAACTAAAGAGGAAAAACACATAATAATATATAATTTACAATTCACATTACATAACATCTATGAAATCAAATGCATCCATAATATATCATGAGTCTATCAATCTATGCCCATGCTGCAGCTACTTACATCTAGCATGTAACAGTTCATGTTAAGAACCTAACCTAGCTACCTAGCTAAAATAAACATTTATTTTTTTTTTATATGAATTTAAAGCATTATATATGTAATTATTTTTAAAAGAACTACCAAATAAATCAATCAATCAATGAGTGAAAGAAAGAATGAATGAATGAATGAATGAATGAACGAATAAATAAATAAATACCATAAATTTAGGTATCAAACTAACGAAATAAACTTTTAAACTTTAAATGAACTAAAATGGAAAAAGCTCTACATGATATCCCATCCATGCTAGATACCTCAATAACTTAATATTATTGATGTTAATGTTATGATCATGTTATGTTAATGTTATGTGAATATTATGTTAATGTTAATATAATGTTATGTTAATGTTACGTAAATATTATGTTAATGTTACGTGAATATTACGTTAATGTAATTTGAATATTATGTTAATGTTTATGTTGAGAGGCTAAGGTAACATTCTACGTCAAACAAATGATTATTATTTAAAAAAAAATGTACAGTGTAATTGGGTAGAAAGAGATTTATATTAATTAATCAATAGTTCAGCTGGCCTGAGAGAGAAATACATGTATGGAGTAATTTATGCTGTACGTGTATTAATCTGTAACTTAAGAATTAAATAGCGTAAGTTTCTGGAAAAAAAAACAAGTAAATGGAGATGATTTGAGAAAAAGTACAAAAAGAAATTTTGGAAAAGAGAATGTGAACATAGAATAACATTTAAAATATATTATATATAATTATTAATTTATGAATTCATTCATTTATTTATTAACTTGCTTACTTACTGAAAAAAAATTGAAAATTATTTGTTTGTTTGTTATCCCCACAGAGAAAAAACCCAAGCCCAAAATAAGACATAGCAAAATAGCACAGATCATTTCTAGGAATGTCTCTAAAAAAAAATCTATTGCAACTCATCCATTTACCATCTCATCCAATACTACACATGAAACACCATTAGATAGAAAATGATTACCACCAATGTATTACATACATATAATTGCTTCATTGAAAAATACAACAGTATACAAAGATTGTATGTGTGTATACAGTCGTGTGGTGGTTTCAGTTTCATGTGTATTAGTCCTAATGGCATCAACAGTAACATTCATTCGCAATGAATGAAGATAGTTATATCAAGATATACACAATCCTATGAGGTTTTTTGTTTATATAAGAGGTGCTATACAAATTATCATAAACAATACAAAACATTACGATACAATAGAATAGGATACAATGGAATACAATACATTACAATACAATACAATACTATACAATAGAATAGAACACAACACAACACAACACAATACAATACAATACAATATAATACAATGCAATAGAATAAAATACAATACAATACAATAACCGACAAAATAAAAACCTCCTAACAAATAATTGAAGTAGTAGTAAATAAAATAAGTAGCGGTAAGGAGAAATAACAATGACGAATAATAACAAACAATAATAAATAATAATAAATAATAATAAATAATAAAATAATAAATAATAATAAATAATAATAAATAATAAAATAATAAATAATAATAATAACAGCGAATATGCTTCATTAGGAATGGTTAGGTGTAATAATGGTTCTTTTCATCTAATCAATCAAAAGATAAGCCAAGAAAGATACGGCTCTCCAAAATATATCATCATATATCATTATCTCCATGTATTATCATAATGCATTATCATGATGCATTATCATAATGCATTATCATCACACGTCATTATCATCATCATCACCACCATATTGGACACCATTACAAAAACTCTCATCATCATTTTAATCAATTACACAAACCAATAAAACGAAGATGGCAATCATCTTTCTAATCATTATTATTATCATTATCCCCTGTTATCACCTTTAACATATGATGATATATGATATACCGAGATAGGTGGTGGTATCAAATGAAATATCTACGCTTCATTCGCAAGCCACTCCCCTTGAAAGAGTAGAAAACAGTGAAATTAGTTTAGTTTACTGGGGAGCTCATTAACTGACTCTAATGGACTTGCCATGCTTGCTATCTAAGCCATCTAAACACCACTCTGTTAGTTTTAATTGATATTTAATCAATCAAAATAATGGCGATGATGGCAATTTTAGACAGCTGATAGAAAAGTGATAAAACAACAAAGACAACGCAATACAACCCTAAGCCAATTCAGAGTAGGCAAATGAGTAGATGACCTAACTCACTGTATGTATGTCATGACGTGAGATAAACTGCACTCAAATAAAATCTGGGATAATCAAAAAGACATCAGAGATGAATGAACTCGACTATAAGTAGGATGGATAGTCAAGGACTACTAAGACAAATAAATTCTATTGGCTTAATGTTTGCTCATCAGCAAGAATGTTGTAATAAGAATTTAGGAGTTTCGAAGATTTAAAAAAAAAACAATTGTAATAATAAAAACTTCTAGAGACATTAACAAAGACCCTGATTCACTATAACCAGGCACACACACGCACGCACGCACACGCACGCACAGACACACACACATACAGACGCACACGCACACAACTTGACAGAGAAATGAAAAATATAAGTATAAAATTAATAATGAGCCAATATGGAACAAGGTCAATCAATTGTAATTATCAAATTAAATAAACATCACTTACTTGCATACAAGCTAATAGTGAAATTGCTTTAATTTAAAAATGGCAATTATTTGCAAATAAGTAAATCATGGAAGTCACATAATTCTAATTATACAGTTCTACACACATCCAAACACAGTTTTACATACACATGAACAACACATAACCAGATACAGACTCACTCACAGAAACACATGCACACATGCACGTAAACACACACCACAGGTACATGGGTATTAGGGGATAAAAAACATCCACCTAAAATAAGAACTAATCACACGTACTAAAATAGAATTCTTGTCACCTCATCAGGTAAATTTACTCAATTAAATGACATATGCAGTGCATATTGCATGCTGCCATGTATTTACATTTGGAAATTAAAAAGTCCTAGCTAGCTAATTAATTTCTATATTGGGTCACATTTGATTGATTGGATAGATGATGTGTTTTTTTTAACTTCAGGTAAAATATTCACCCCATCAATCGATGCTATTTTAGGCGCGGCTGCACGACGGTGTAATGGTTAAGGCGCCTGACACAGCTGACGCAGAGACCAGATTCAAATGCAGGGAGATCCCCACCTATAACGTGCAAAAGTGATTTGCCTCGTAAAAATTAACTTGCAACGGCATAACATAAAAGAACAGCGGATCGTCACATGTACATGAAAAAACTGCTCTAACAATAATGACAAGAGTATTTTATAAGATATAACATTATAAATAATTGCAATGGCTAATATAGAAGTGAGAGGGAAAAATCTCTCAGACTGATGTATATGTAAGAGAGGTAAGAAAGCAAATAAATAAAAAAAATCCCTGAAGGTTGCATTACTTGAATGCGTTAATATAAGCTAGAAGAAAGTTATAAAAATCATTCTATGTTGAGAAATACTTTTTTGTAAGAGTTGATAAATTTATTCAAAATAATTATATGTATAGAGCAAAATTATATGAAAAAAACTTATGTGAGCATAAAAAGAATTTGCTAGAGTTTCACAAAGATATAGTCATTTTACAGAATAACAGAATAGCAGAAAGTGACAGAATAAAAATTAAACGAAAACACTGCTTTTGAAAAATTCAACTAGAATCCTTCAAATGTTCAACAACGATAACATATAACAATTATTATAATTGCAGTTATACTTAATATATTCTATATTATATAGGATAGCAAAGAAAAATTACAAGCCTGATGAAATATTTCTAATAAGAACAACATCCAATCAACTAACTGACTAACTGAATACCTACCTACCTACCTATCAACCTACCTACCTACCTACCTACCTACCTACCTACCAACCAACCAACCAACCCACCTACCTACCTAACCTTAACACTTACTCATTGTCTCAGCATAATAAGTAGCACTAACTTAATAATGCAAGCCAACAACAATAACAATGTAGAAAATAGCAGCAAAGTAAATACACACGTGAATAGCCAGCCTACTTGCAATCAAATTTTGTGATTCTCCTTAATAGCAAGAGGCACAGGCTAAATTATATCTTTCACCGTTATGTATCACTGATGTATGTCAGACATAAATATAAAAAATATGAAAGCAGCAAGATGAAAAAATCATTTCACAATTTCATAAACGAAAACAACAACATAAATACACACACGCGCGCGCACACATACACACACACGTAAACACACACACATACACACACACATACACACACACACGTAAACACACACACACACATAAATTACGCATAAAAATTAAAGTATTTACATAATGAAAAGAAAAGAATAGATGAATTAACAACAACAAACAATATTGTATATCAGACATATAGCGTATAATATACAACATACAATATAACGACAGGTATATGAATTCAATCAACCAATAGCTGAATCAACATGAACAAATAAACACAAACATCGTCTTCTATATAAACAAGGTAGACAGCATTGACAAGTTAAACATCATAAACAGAAACAGCTGCAGATAAACATTCATCATTATGAATCAATAATAGTATTATTTCAAATGAATAATTAATACTAGCCCTGTAGATTGTAGCAAGAAAGCGCCCATGATAAACACAAATAACATTAACAGGCATGAACGAAAATTCAGATATGAAATTTATAAACAATGACAACGTAAATAATCTGCCTGCTGAAATGCTAATGCAAGCAAAATGGATGGAAGGGACGGGACGAGTCGTGTATCAAACAAATACGTTTAAGTATAAACGCCAAGGGGAAAACTACACAAACATAAAATAAAACGGTGTTTAAGTTAGTTAACAAGTTTAGATGAACAATTTTACAACGACTAAACAAAAACAAAAGCAACAAACTGACATAAATCATAATAACTTTGACAAAAGCAGTAACAAAGCAACGTTAACTACAACAACTACAACAACCACAACAACTGCAGCACTAGATTCTCATAAATTACCACAAAAACCAACAGAGGCATTCATTAACGACCACAACAACCACAACAGCAGCAGCAAAAACTATGACAACAACCACAAGCGAGCAGTAGCAAGCAGCAGCATCATGAGCCAACCAACCTTGCAAAGCACTTCAACTGGTGTAGACATTTTCTTCTCACTAATCTTCTCATATTTCTGTTTCTTAGTCCCAGCCTGACACATTTATCATCATTATCACTATAACCACCATCATTGTCATCATCATCATCACTGCAAATTAACTCTATTATTATCATCACTTTCATCATCTCAAAGGATCATTGAATCATTTTTTTCTGCTTAATGTCAGGGCATGTTTCTAGATGATGACACATTTGTGGTAATGATGATGATAATGCTGTAATGATGAAGCCGTGATGATGATGATGTTGTGATTCTGAAAAAAAACCTCTTCTCTACATATAATAACATCATCTTCTTAGTTCTTATCACTTACAACATATTTTCTTTTACCATCAATAGGTCCAGAACAATCACTTCAAAACAACACCATCCAATTCACAACCATCTTCACCAAATCATCTTCACCATGATTGCAATCAACACCACCGTTACAACCACCACCATCACGACAGCATCCACCATCAAACCTTAAGGCCCTGCCAGGGAAGTGAACCCCTGTTGAAGTACATGAGTACATTGCCCAGGGACTCCATGTCATCCCGACGACTCTGTTCGATACCCAGGTGCGCATTTATGCTTGCATATCTTGCTGTGCCTATGTGGTGTCATGTGTGTGAGTGAGGGAATGTGTGCGTGCGTGTGTTTGTGTGTGTAAAAATGTGCGTGCGTGCGTGTGTGTTTGTGTGAGTGTGCGTGCGTGTGTCTTGAACCTGGTATTGTTGCTGTTTCTATGTTTGTGTGTGTGTGCGTGTGTGGAAATGTGTGTGAGTGCATGTGCGTGTGTTTCTGTGAATCTGGTATCGTTGCTGTTTGTGTGTGTGTGTGAATTGTTTGTATGTGTGTTGTGTGTTATTTATACATTGTTAATATGAATCAGCCAACGTTGTCAACAAAAGTATGTTAGTCACCTTCATGCATTATTCAATTTAAATCAAATAAGGACAAATTAATTGAAATATATTTATATATAACAATAAATAATTGCAAGGAATTATGTGGATTTTTAGAAAGAACTTTTGCATCCATTACAAATTAACACTCAGTCACTTACATATGTGTTATTCATTTTAAATGTGTGAAGCCCCATTAATACCGCTGTATATACATACCAACATATATTATACACACCAACATATATCAATATCATAAGCATGTGTGTATATATTTGTGCATATGCGTGCTTGTGTGTGCGTGCGTGTTATTGACATGTGTGTTATTGACAGCAACCATTTGAGAGGTACTTCTTTTAAACTTCTTGAAAATATTTTAATTAAAAGAATCAAGTATTTGAAAACTATTCCCACTTACATAGAGGATATTGTGAGTGTTGTGTGTGTGGTGCGTGTGTGTGTGTAGTGTGTGAATTGTTGTATAAAATCCGTAAATTTATTAAGTACATTTAACTCTCAGTGTATATGTTTTTATGTTTTTTACATAGGCCTGTGGAGTGTGTAGAGTAACGAATGTAGCTCTAAATAGGTGTGTCTTTATCATATATAGAGGACAACAATTTGGCAATAGTAATGATGATGATGATAATAATAATAGGTCCATGGTTTGTTTACTTTGAAACCAACAACAAAAACAATGATACACATACAAATTATAAATGATAACTGTTATAAATCAGTCAGGTTGAGCTGTGTACACATGCTGTGTGTGTACTGTGTGACCATTTGTGCAATTTAGGTGTACATAATAAGATATAGATATGTACTGATGAAATCATTTTACATAAGCTGCTATCCCTTCAACGATGATTACAAAACAATCAATAGTAACAAATAGAAGATGATGAAGCTGTTGATGATAATTCTACCACGTTAATGAATGGTTTTATTAATTGTTTTCACTTATTAGTTGCAACCCAGCATGTCAAATGAATAAAACTCAGAAGTGACAACAACAGAAGTAACATGGAGTGCAACAAAGTGTTACAAAATCACTGAGACCTAACAACTAGCTTACTACATTAGTGAAAATAATAACACTGGACGCATTAATATTGTAGCTTTTTGAGTTGAAAACTTCAAAAAACATCACACAGGCAGACACACACACACGCACACGCACGCACACACACGCGCACGCACACACACAAAACAATAATGACAACAAACCAGTGAGATTTTTGTCCTCGCGATAAGGTATGTGTTGTCTGGTGTGATTGTCCCTGTACTTTTTAGCCAGACCATAATCTATTAAGAATACCTGGATACGAAAGTGTGTTTGAGTGTATTTGTTTGTGCACCCTGTGTGTGTGTATAATGTGTGCATGTGTGCGCGTGTGTATGCATTACGCCAGAGTAAGAAGAAAATTTTTTTAAAGATGTTGAAACACTGGAAAAAAAGTTGAAAGGTTCAGTTTCAATATTAAATGCTTAACAAATAAAAATATTAAAATAAAGAAACAGCTCTATGAATTTTCCAACCAATGACAGACAGACAGGCTTAACTAAACTGAAGATGATAATTATGATACAAGATTGTATGCAAGGTACTGGATAAATTTGAATGCTAAGTTGTTTGTGTATGTGGTTTCCTATATATATATATATAGAAAAAGTATGTTTTATGCCTACATTTTACACATATGTGTGTGTGTGTGTGAGTGTGTGTGAGTGAGTGTGTGTGAGTGTGTGTGTGTGCAAGTTATGATAAAAAAGAGATTGAATCAATGAATAGTGAAATAATATGCTAAACACTACTTAACAAGAACTAATTTAGGATTTGTCAAAAATAGCCATATAGCCTAGATAAAATATTCAGATGAAAGAGTTGAAACATTTTTAAGAGCACTTGGAATTTCCATTGAATAAAGTGATTGAGATAAGATAAAAAAAAATGGAGACATAATTGATTGGTTGTATTTTTAAAATAAATAACCATTCCACAATCAATCAATTAGAAACCTTATTGCAATGTCTTCCGATTCCCATGAGAAAGTTGTCTGGTTTGATATCTCGATGTATAAAATTTTTGTTGTGTACATATTCGATCCGACCTATCATCTGTGTCAGTCGTATTGTTTTCCATATTATTTATTAACTATTTCATATTATTCATTAATTAAATGAACAACAAATATATATACATATATATATATATGCAGTTGTTTAAATATGTCAAAGCGTTGCATGTGTTGTTCAATTTTTCGAACGACGAATTTCAGTTCTTATCAAGTTTGTTCAGTTAATAAACAAAATTTTTATTCATTTTTTGCATTTTCGTTTAAATATTTACATTCCAACATGAGAAGCTTTTTTGGCAATCATTTGTAATCATCAGGGTTAAACATGGATTTTGTTTGATGTGTCTGTTTATATAGGTCTTGAGAGACTTTGTTACTGAGTGTCTTCACTAAGCGAAATTATTTGAATTCTGACTTAGTTTGTTAGTCAGTTAGGACTCCAACAGCATGCTGTTGAATATTTATCGCTGGATGTCTTTGTTCGATGAGCGAAGATTCTGCAATCCTTGGATTGTGTGGATTGTTGTTGTAGTGAGTTATTTCTACGTCATTGTTAAGTATTTCTCTGGTGATTTTTGTGATAAGTTTTTCTTTCAGGTAATTCTTCATTGCTCCTGACTGAACATGCCTGGTAAACCCGCTTGATAACTTGCTTGTTGTCATCCCGATGTATTCAGAGTTTTGGTGCCCACACTCACCAATTTGGCATTTATATGAGTTTATTATCGTTTCTGGCTTGCTTGTGCAGTTGATTTTTATAAAAAGAGAATATTTAAACGAAAATGCAAAAAATGAAACAACTGCTGAATTAAAAAACAAAACAGTGGACCACACCAAACGTGTCAGCCTACCTGATCCGCTAACATGAGAACAGTTTTCATACTAAATCGGCGGCCACAAAAATTGAAAAGGTCCTCTAAAGAAGGTCCCAACAAATCCATAACTAAAACATTGTATTCTTTTTCCTGTCCAAACCATCTGTAAAGACATTTTTGAATACAAACTTAAATATTTTTAAATATTATTGGGCCAAATTCAAAGACAATTGTGTCAGTCAGAAGGGAACAAAAAGAAATTAGAAAAATAGAAAATATGCTTACTTAGAAAATATTTATTTTTATATGAACAAAAATTTGATTCCATTTAAAAAGTTACTATGTCAGTAACCTTATGTGTGGTATGCCAACTCCACCTTGCAAAATTTTGTACAATTTACTTTCATATAACAGCTGGGGATGACGAGCTTTTTGTGATTCTAATTTGACAGCTAATTCCTAAGAAATTTATTAAATAGCTTTAGCATAAGAAAAACCTTAGTGGATAAGAATTATAAGATAAACCAGGGCTAAAAAAATTAACCATATTATATCTTTATTCATTTATTGAAGTACTAAAAATACTTACTATTTAAAAAAAAAATTAAAAATTACGTTATGAGAACACTAAAATAAGACGAACGATCAAACCAAAATTTCAGAAATTGAGAATTTGAAAAATTGATTCAAAAGATTTACCAAGAGAAAGTTATTTAATCAATTAACAGCCAAAAAGCGAATGGGGCTAACCTCTCCGTTTGCTATGTTTATTCCAAGATAAATGTCCCCAAACGACCCACTACCGATTTTTCTGACCAAACGATATTTACCATTGACTAAAAATTCGGACTTGGATGAAGATGATGCTGAAGTGGCGGTGTTAGACATATTTTTAGCGAATTATCTGACAAATTTTAAATAATTTTTAAAGGTTATATGAAAAAAATATTATTATGCCAAAAACTTTAATCTATATGTAATAGGTAATTAGAATTGAAAACATCCAATTTAATTTAACGTTAAGATCTTTTAATCGCAGCCATTGTAATAATTTCTAAATCAGTGATGAGTGAAGAATGAAGTGTAAATACCGACTCGCTCGCAAAATTTTGCTGTTCCGAGATAATTTTTTTAAATTAGCTTCAAAAGTTGCCAAATTATAATTTAATAATTGTCAATTTGTTTCCCTCCCTGATTGATAGTATTTGTAAAAAATTGCAACCAATAAACACGATGACGTTTAGCTCACACAAATACGCAAGAAAAACAAATTTTTATAGTGCACAACATTTAACGTTCCATCCCTTTTCTATACCATTTAATGATTATCATCGCGTTGAAATTGAGAATCTTGGAGATTTCTACGTTGGGTTGGCGGGTTGTTGCGATTATTCCGTGATTTCATCTCAAATCTACCGCCTTCGATGGGGGAAGATCACCCGATCACTAGTAAGCAGAGCGCACGCAGAGCTCACAGCCACCCGACGTCAGGCCTTCCACATCCAGCGCAATTAAAACAATTGCGTCGAAACTCAATAATCGAATAAATGGAACAACGCGGCTTACTCATTTGAACATTTGAACTAACACTACACGAGTTTATAAATAATATTTATTGTTTCGAAAAAAATAATAAATGATTAAAATTTTAAAGGTGTCCGTTTATCTTGAATTTGATATAAATTTCTGAGGGCATCCCTTGCGGCCATTTCTTCTGCTGTCGTTAGCGTTTCTCCCGGTGCTAAATTTAAAAATTATTAATGAATGTTAACTGAATGAAGTGGAAGGCACGGAAACTGAGGGGCATTGAAATATTCGACGTTTATATGGCCAACAATATATGTAAAAGTTTTGAGGCATTACAATTGTAGAAGTATGAGATACTTCAGTGCAACGTATATAACAATATTTACAACAGTTTTATAAATACGTTTTTCAAAATTATTTTAAAATACACTTGATGTCCTTAAAATTCACCTTTCCCAAGCAGTTTTTTGTCCGAATAGATGCCAACGACATAATTTGAAAGGACTGTATTGCTGCCGGAGGACCATATTAGTCTGATTCGAAACAAAATTGTCAAATTTAAAAATAATATCTTGGCAGAAATAAAAAAAATGAAAAGTTTCACGACTGAATACATGCACCTCACCGCCGTCATTAACATCATTCTCATCCAGCGTGGCGGATCCGGAGGGGAGGGCCGACCATGTTTTTGTCAGTAAAACTCAGTTTTTATATAAAAAAAACACCGTTTTCAAGTACAAAATGAACCAAAAATTGACGTGATAACAAAAAAATAAGGTCGTCACTCTAATTTTGGCCCGCCCTAGCAAACATTTGGTTAATTTTCCACCCCTCCGTCAATTTCAACATTTTTAAAATGTTGCCTCCCCCCATTTAAGCGTCTTCTAGATCCGCCACCGATTTCATCGACCATCGGAGCCGGCACGACATCATAAACAACCTGGACTCTGGTTCCTTCAACCCTAACTTTTGCAGCTCCTTGACGAGCAGACCCATCGGGTTGGTGACTACCCAGACGTCATCCACCCTCTTCCCGACAAGTTGCACAGCTATAAAGTCTCTAACGAACTTGGAGCATCTGTCGTAACCCTGTTGTAAGTTTAATGCAATGAGAAATTACCATTAGTTACGGTAACGTAAGTTATAACAAGCATGGAGAAATTCTTTTTTATGCAGACCTGATCCAAATAGAGGGCACCGACAACGGCTTTGAATGTTTTACACAAGGTCAAGTTAGGCGGAGGGTAATCCTATCAGTTGGTGAGAACAAATTACAAATGATGTCATCAGTGTTAGTTGATGATAAACAATCAAGAATTACATCAACGCATTACCATCACATTACAAACTTATTACAACGTCACAGATACGTAGGGACTATCACATACCCCATGGCAAATCCCTCATTTGCCCACTTCGACTAAAATTTCTATATTTTGGTGTTCTCATAACATTTGTATTCCTAGTTTTTTTAATGATATTCGAGCATTGTAAATACATAGACATCAATTGATATTGACATTGACATTTTAATTCAATTTTTATAAACTATTGAAACTTATTACTAATAAATAGATCCTAGTAAATAGATGGTAAAAAAGTATCCCGTCAATATCTTACAAAAATTTTTAATCATGTTCTACAACCCTAACTAAAAATTTCGATATGGTATAGCATCATTTTATACATATGGGAGCACTTAAATATGCGCCCCAGGCAGCGGGCCAGCCAAGCATGACCCCTCCCTACTACCTCTTACGTCACGGCAACGTCACATTTCATCACAATACTCCCTCCACAGGTCACAAAACATCATCTCATTCCGAAACTTCATAATATCGCAGAACCTCGTAACGCCACAGAATTCCGTAACGCCACATTAAAACAAATAAATAATGACTAAACCAAATTAAAAATAATTAAAATAAAATAAATAAATAAAAATAATAATAAGCGTGCAAGAAAGGCAATTCATGCATACATCACTCAGAATGAGATCTTTTACTCCAAGGTTTGAGGCTATGTGGCTTAACATGTCTTTCGATGTTAAGAATTTCAACAGGCACCTATGAACAATTATAATGGTGGTGACATTAAAGATGATCGTGATGACATTAAAGATGATAATGATGATGACATTAAAGAGGATGATGATGATGATGGCATTAAAGAGAATGATGATGACATTAGGGAGGATGATGATGATGACATTAAAGAGGATGATGATGATGACATTAAAGATGATGGTGATGATGATGATGACATTAAAGAAGAAAATGATGATGACATAAAAGAGGATGATGAAGATGATGACATTAAAGAGGATAATGATGGCACTGAAGATGGTGGCGATGATATTAAAGATGATGATGGTGATAACAATATTGATGATGATATTATACATTATGATGATATTAATGATGAATGAATAAATGAACGAACGAATAAAATTGATGGATAAAAGAATGAATGGATGAATGAATGAATGGATGAATGAATGAATGAATAAATGAATGAATGAATAGATAAGTAAATGAATGAATGGATTAATGAATGAATGGATGAATGAATTAATAAATAAATGAATGAATGGATGAATTAATGAATGAATGAATGAACAAATGAACAAATGAACAAACGAACG